GATTCCTGCTCCTTTCCCCACTGCATTGTTACCAGCACAACCAGTGGATGAAGTCACCGCCACCGGACTGCTCATTTGACCACAGAGAACGTAAATATCACTTATCCAAACCTCTTCCAGAGACCTTGGCATTGTTAGATGTTATCAGTATATGATTTTTCTAATTTACATTAGATATTATATTGCTGATTGCAGTTTATAGCAAATCTTTCATGTATTTGTTTGATGCATCATAGGGTTCTTCACCTTATTTCTTTCAGAGTAGCAACAGTTTGTCTTTCCAGATAACTTAGCTCTGACATTGCAAAACCCAAAATAATCACTTGCATTTTATGCATCTTATGCACTTTATTCCTATTTCATTTATGGTATTCATTTAGTAGTTGTTGATTACTCTTGTCTATCTTTTGTTAATAAAATCTATTTTATTACACTTGTGTCTTCCTTGTGTTGATGATACAGAAAGAGGTTCTACAAGTTCCCACCAATTTTTCTTATGTGATGTACTCATAACCACACCTTAAGTGACACGTGATCCAAATATCATAACGTCCTTGGGGATGCGAGTATCCATCACTACAGTATTTCGCCCCCCTAGGTTGGCAAAAGCAAAATTCACTACAAAATATTCATACATGTCATGTGTATAACTACAGTTGCAGTGCAGATGCACCAGCAACTTGCTCTTGAGGGTTCACAGACATTGCAATATGGTGGACGGCTTATGCCGCTAATAGTGCATCTAGCTATACATATCTATGAGGAAAAATCTGGAATCGCTTGTTCTGAGAGACTTTATGATTTATTGGGATTATAAAAAATTGAGTGGGTGGATTTTTACCTGGTTGTTTTCACACACTGCAGCCACACAACTGTGTTCAAACACCTTATAAAAGTGATTTGTGCATAATAGGTCCCCTTTAAGAAGCACAGATGTCAAAAGGTCATGATCTTTAATTTGGTTCTTTTAAATTAAATATGTACCAGAGGGCCAAAACATGAATGAAATTAATGTCTATTTCACAAACAAACAGTTTTTGTTTCACTTTACACATACGCATTGCTTGGGAAAGTGGTGCATGAGAGGCACAGCAGCATTTCATGTCCTTAAGTGCATTAAATATATCCAAAACTCTGAAATGACCTTAAAGTATGGTTCCACATTTCCGGAATATTCTGCACATCCTCTACAAGTGTTAAAGCCCTTCCTATAGATTTCTCGCAGTCGGGCTTCCCAGAGGCACACTTAACATGCCCGAGTGTGTAACAAACACTCCAATCAACACTACTGAAAAGTGAGAGATCTCGCCCTATTTTTTCTTATCCTCTTCTCAGCGTCACAACATTTGTCAATCATTACCAAAACATGATTATCACTATCTCTCAGCCATCACACATCTGGTTTAAACCATCCTGTGCTGATGAGGTATAAATGGGGCTGAGAGTGAAGGGTTTACTGTTTGTTAGGACTGCAGTGGTTCTCAACCAGGGGTTCTCAGTAAACTCCAAAATGTCTCAACATATTTAAAATAGTTTAATTTAACTATTTAAATGTATTATTTAGCAAATTATTAAGGTTATATATATAATTTTATTTTTTTTGCATCATATTTATTACACTCTTAGAAAATAAAGGTTCTTTAGTGGCATCAGTGGTTCTGTGAAGAAACTTTAACATTCATGGAAACTTTGCACATTGCACTTAAGGTTTTTTAAAGTGAAAATGTTCTTCACACTAAGAAAAAACATTCTTGTAAGAACTGTTCACTTAAATGTTCTTTGTGGAACCAAAAATGGCTTTTGTATGGTATTGTTGTGAAAACCCTCCTGTTGGAACCTTTATTTTTAAGAGTATGTTCTAGATGAAAAAAAAAAAAGGAAATTTACACTACACCAAATTAAATTAACAATTTTATAACATTGAAATTAATAATTATCAACCTAGGGGGAGGGGGGGCATGAAATACTGACTTTTGGGGCCTTGGAATTACAAAAATTGAGAACCACTGTTCTAATAAACACAACTAACAACATCCCAGATCTGATACAGGACACACAAGTAAAATGGCATTGTTCAGTAAAAAGCTTTGTCAGGGCTGAGTGTCTGTTCATAGTGATTGATGCTGGGAGGCATATTGCTAATAATGTTCATAATGAATACAACAAAGTTACACATCGCAAATGTTATTTCAATGCTGATGATGTGAGTTGATGAAAATAGGCTGGGTACAGTTCATTTGTTTTTGGGCTGTGCTGCTATATAAAGAGCTACGAGACAGTAGAGAGCTCCCCCGACTGTCAGTGCCATAGTGGTCCTGTACAAGAGTCTGTCTGAAACACCTCGTTTCAGATGAACAGGAATCTCTTCAGAGGCCTGGATGGAAAAAAAGAGGAAAAAACAAGTTGAGGAGAAAAGAGAGGGAAGAATTATAATGTATGCTTCATATTCATTGTTTATTAAAATTCATTAGTTCACCCAAAATGGAAAATTCTGTCATTATTTACTCACCCTCATGACATTCCAAACTTGCGTGACTTATTTTCTTCTGCACAACACAAACGATTATATTCTGAAGAATGTTGGTAACCAAAACTTACCTACGCTTTAATTCCCTTGTATTTTTAATCTACACAACAGTCAATGGGAACTGAAACTGTTTGGTTACTAACATTCTTCAAAGTATCTTCTTTTATGTTCAATAGAAGAAAATAAGTCATATAGGTTTGGAATGATCATGTAAGGATGAGTAAATGACGACAATTTTCATTTATATCCCTTTAACTAAGCTGCATAGCTTAATACATCATATACACACCTGAAATATCCTCTGGAGATCTGGAACCTTGTTGGCACCCATATACTCCACTGGAGCATTTGACTCCGACACCAGTTTAGTTGGGGTGGCAAAGAAGATGGTAGGGGATTCAGACGGTATATTTGACCTCAAGCCCTGAAGAAAGTTTACAAGCAAGTTAACCTGATATTTATTTTTGTTCACTATGACTACATAACGTTCTTACTCAAAGCACCATCTATCACAGTGGTTTTCAACCTTTTTGACCCCATGGTCCCCTACTGACCACAAAAATATTAAATATCAATATTTGTGTAAAATATTTTTATCATCAATTTCTACCAGACATATCAGAGCTAGAAAATAAATAATCATGATACATGTAGCTTTAATATTTTATAAATTTACATGACTCTTCCAGGTTTAGAAATCACACTTTTTTAATTAACTAAAAATTAACACTTTAATTAAAAACATTTTAAGTCACCTTGAGGCCCTGTTGAAGTTTGCTGAGGTCCCCATAGGGGGCTCTGGCCCCCTTGTTAACACTGATTTATCAGCTATTGTCCCTAACTATTACCTTTTGTTGTGAAATCGTTTTAGGACTATACAACCAATGCTGAATTTAGAAGTACTAAAACTTAGTGGTGAACTGTTTAACGGTCATATGAACAATCATGCACAGCACATCTATATAATTAAATGTAGCTCAACTAAGTAACTGTATCCACTAAGTAGAGATTTTGGTGTGGACAGTCAACTCTCCGCTTTTGATTATCAATCGCCCCATATTTAGCCTGCTTAATCATATCGGTTAATAAAGTGCTAGAGAAACGTATTTTATATATCTAACGACTGTTTAAAACCCCTCTATGGGTCACATGAAGCAGGCGGCAGATCAAGGTCACTGAATTAGCGTTTTAGAAACGGAATCGCGCGCAGATACCTGCGGGCTGTAGGCGGAGGATGACACGGCTCCCGTCAGTCTCTGTGTGAATCCACTACATTTGTAATACATTTTGTTAATAAACGGTAACCGACGAGGTGAGACTGTGACCGTCGGGAAGTCGGAACTCAACCGGCTTTTTTCCTTGTGTAAGAATTTGTCGCTGGAATATGACGTCACAAGACACAAAACTGTTATGAAGCAGATATGAGAAAAACATATTTAGTGATATAGAATGGGAAGAGTTTTGGCTTCTTCGACAAAAATTCTTCTCATCGAATAAAGTTGTTGAAGTCTCTATCAAAATTATCCATAATTGTTATCCGGTAAATTACAAACTTGCTAAATTTAACAATAGTATTTCCCCCAATTGCTCCTTTTGCCTTCAGTCTGAAGAAACAATCAATCATTTATTTTGGGACTGTGCTTATTCTAAAGTGAAATAAAAAAAAAAAAAAAAAAAGATATGAGAAAAAAGCTATATATATTTATAAAAAATATATTATATATCTGATATTATATATATAATATCAGATGCCCATTGTCTAACTGATTATAAATATATATATAATATCAGATGCCCATTGTCTAACTAATTATCATGCCCCGCTATTGTCTCAAAAGGTCATCTCAGTGAGCTGTATCTTTTCTCCTGGACAATAATGGTGGAAATGTGTAATAATTTTTGAGTTTCAAAAATAAAGGCACCCTGAAAAGTATTCACGGGAGTAAAAGCTGACACCTAGAACCAGTCATCGCTATTTAAAAAAATTCAAAAGGTCTTTGCTTTATATATTTCAGATTATATTTGTGCCACATTCCTTTCTGTATTATAATTAGGGAAAGAATAAGGCTTGAATCCATAAACATTTCTTTATTTTCTTCATACACATAAATAACCTTGTCTTAACCAATTAGAATACATTTTCAGTTACAGAATAGAGCTACATGAGATTTAATTTGCATCATTATGACCCTTCCAAAATAGCCACAAATACATAGCTACAAAAAAATGATACAGATATGAAGGCATACATCTCCTTACAGATGCAAAAATAAACATTGTGTGGTGTGACATCAACCAAGCAATGTCTTTGCAATTATTTAAATAAGATCCCTACACTGACATGACAATTTAGACTAAAGACAAATTATGTAATTAGAGGATAACCAGAATTAAACAATGCACTCTATCTTGATTTTGACATTGTCATCAATTTAGCTAAATAATCTGTAGATTATAACCTTAAGTCCATATATTTTTAAAGTGTTCTTAATGATGCTTCTATATCATGAAATACTATTATAAAATTTACTGTAGCCTATGTCCCCTAATGAATCATATCATATGCGACATATCTTACTAAATACAATCCAAAATCCATCTTTTTATTCCAAGAGACACATAAACTCAGAAAGTCCCTTGAATGAGGAAAAGAGGTTTGATTTTGTGCTTGTATTCAAAGAGGAAGAAGGAATCGAGTGAGAGCCCTCCTACTGGTGAGCGTGTGGGTGAGGTGTTTGCGAATCAATTTAGTTAACGCCTCTTGATTCACACAGTCGTGTATGGACAGGTTGCAGATTTGTCGCTGTCTGGATGAACAGCTGATGTTTGTTTTTTGTGACTTAGTAATGTAATATCAATCTATGAGCAAGACCTTTAAAGGGGTCATATGATGCCCATTTTCCACAAGTTGATATGATTCTTTAGGGTCTTAATGAAAAGTCTGTAACATAGTTTGGTTAAAATTTCTCAATGTTAGTGTAAAAACACCTTTTTTTACCCTGTCAAAAACAGCTCTTTTCAGATCAAGCCGTTTTTGTAGCATTTCCCTTTAAATGTTAATGAGCTCTGCTGACCTCGCCCCTCTCTTTCGAGCTGCCTAGTCATCGTGA